GGACAGGCCTTCCCGATGCCGCCACATCACGACCTGGAATTGTCAACTCCATCTCAATGTTGAGAAGCAATTTAGAAGTTAAATAGGGCAATTATGCGAGGTAGATGGTGATGGGTTTGATTCCAAAAGGTGTATGACGGATGGGAGCAACTGTTGAGATCATGCTCCCAACTGCACCCAATCTTTCAGATAGGGACTGCACTGTGGTAGATAACGGGCATGGATGAGAGCCAAGCACGTATATCAGAGCAATTCGCCTTTCACCTACCAAGACCCCCGCATGGCATCCCTCTTGCCTAACTTACCTACAGCTGCAACGTTCCTCTTCATCTTTATCATTAACCTTCAGTTGCACAGGACTCTGTTACATGTATCCGTACCTACAGGAGCTGATGAAACCCAAGCCCCGAGTCCGATGTGGGAGTACCCACTGCCATGGCTACAGCGCCGATTGGCCAGAAGCAAGAGCGCTTGGGCCCACCCTGTGAACGTCGATCATCGCTCATTTCTCGTTCAATTCGTTCAATTCCCAACTAACTTAACGTTTAACCCACTGCACTAACTCACCTTAGCTCCCTGCATGCAGAATCTTGAGCCTGAAAATCTCCATTGATTGGCGCTGGCGATCGAGTCTCACATGATTGCAGTGCCGATTCTCGAAGAACATCTCGCAATCAAAGTGCGTGGCTCGGCGGAGAAGGGCCTCGATTGCAGTTCTGGTGTGACGCAGACGGCTCCTCATAGGTTGACCCGAGACGACGGGTTTGGGAAAGTGACGGCGACGAGAAGGGACACAACGCACTAGCAGCTCTTTGGGGGCCGTCTCGGCGGTCGCCCTGATCGATCTTCCCCACGGCTTCAGCCACGGCATCAACTGCTCACACTCGATCCGCCGCCAACGCTCCCGCCCTCGATACAGTGGCGGCCTTCCAATCATTGTCCACAGCAGCGCCAAACCTGTCATCACACCAGCCGCCCTCCGCTCCCCCACCAGTAACCCACGCGCAGCCATCGCGAAGCACCAGCCTCTTGCGGAGAGGCCTCGGCGCCACCCCCGAGTCGTTCTTACCATCGCCATTCCGCACCCGCCGCGCCGCTGCGCAACTGCCCCTTCGACATCTCGCGGCCTCGCGCCTCTGGAACCCCACCAACTCGACCCCCCGGAGCCTCGCACCGCCGGCATCAAGCAGGCCCCGCCGCCCGTCCACACCGCCGCCTCCACCGGTTCCGCTCGCACGTCCTACGCTCGACGTCGCCGAGGACCCGTCAAACATCGTCGGTACCGCTGCGGGAGACTACCCGCTCCTCACCCTCCCCGAGCAGCGCCAGGCCCGCCCTGCGCCCTCCAACCGAGCCAGTCTCCATCTCGATCGCCGCGCCGGCGCCGAGCAGCGCATCAGTCTGCCGCCGACCCTACGCCACTCGTACGACGAGAAGCGCGCCACCCCTAGCTCATCGCCGGTCGAAGAACCCGAAGCAGGCCCGTCAACCAGCCGGCAGCCCCTCCACCTAGGGGTCCACGAAGCCCCGCGGTTCAGGAACAGGGGCCCTAGCTTCGCCAGCCTCCAGGTACCGCTCGGTCTCAGCTTGAGACCTCGGCCCGGGTCGAGGTCACAGAAGGAGGACAACAACCACAACACCAACAACAAGGGCAAAGGCAAAGCAACAGTCATGGCGCCGCCAGAAGACACCACCACCGCCGCCGCGGGGGACAACGGCTTCGCGGGGGACCTGGAGCGCGGGCCAGACTGCATGCACCCTCACCAGCGGCACTCGACGGCGTCGGGCATGTCGGTGGGCGCGGGCATCGGCTCAGCCATCTCGTCTAGCGACTCGTCCATCATGGGCGACCCGGACCAGCCGCCAGACAACGGCGAGGAGTGGGGCCCGCAGCACCCGTGCTACCCGCACCCGAACCCGCACGTGCCGCCGGGCTCGCCCGAGTACGCCAACACGCGCATCATCCGCGTCCGCCGCGACTGGCTGCTCGAGGGCGACCTCGCGCCCACCTTTTCGAACCTGTACCCGGACATCCTCGACCCGGCGGGCGTCTCGGAGCAGCAGTTTCGGCGCGTCATCGACAAGCTCAACGGCGAGCTCGTGCCCATCTTCAGCCCCTACGCCTGGCGCAACATTTTGGATAACGTGCTGGGCCTGGCAACGGGGTGGCTGTGGGACGACCTCGGGTTCACCGCGGCCAAGACGCGGCTCAGGAGTCTCGAGAAGTGGGTTGAGCAGTGGAATGCCGAGATGGAGAAGACGGCCGGCTCCGAGGAGGGTGTTATCCCGCCTAGGATTGTGCCATTGAGGCGGACCGGGTACATGACGGTATGTGTATCTCCTCCAGCCCCACCCCCCCGGGATGTGTTTTTAGGTGTGGGACTGACTCTAAAGTGTTGTAGCTCGACATCCAAATACCGGATCCTGAACTGGCCCCTGCTTCGCCCACCACGGCTACTGCTTCGCGCGATGGGCCCGAGTCGTTGCCGGAGCCGCCTGCTGCCGTCACGGTATAAGACGCGACTTGTACTTTTTTTCTCTTCATTTCTCTTTGGTGGTTTTGTTCCCTATATCTTGTCACTTATACCCTATGATCAGTCTTGCTTCAACTGATACATGCACATACCTTTGTCCTGTGGGTAATGTTGTTGGTATGTGTGTGTGCTCGGCAGGACTTGTTAGTGTGTTTTGTACTTCTTCCGACACGCATGGCGTTGAAGTCTATCACTATACCCCCTGGGTTGGCGAGAATGTACTTGGGAGACGTATGTGACGGCCAATTTTCCCATGTTGGAATTTCTACGCTTCTCCATCACATACGCATACCTTGCCCGTACTCAATGTTGGTGAATGGCAGTATGTGGTGCCATGCAAGATATCTTGTGTGTTAAGATTGCTCTGCCGACATGCGGTCGTGGTAGATTTCTACAAGACAGATTCACACGACCAAGTGCAAACGCCAACGACAACGGCCGCACCAACACCGCTTTCGCCGCGGCAGTCAGGCCTTCTTTGTTTCAAGGCTTCTTCTGTAGTGCTCTGTCCGTTTATAATGAGCATACAAAGCCGCTAGCATCGCATTGCCCCTCCCAGCGTCGGTCGGCCGGGTCAAAGTCGGCATTGGCCCTTTCATGAACGGTAGTGTCTTAAGTTTCCATCGTGCCGATTAGATCTACCGGCCCAGAGGAGATTTCTGGAAGACACCTAGAGTGACGCGCAAGCAAGGATCTCTGCCCTTTGTTGCAGCTTTTGGGGATCTCTTCAGGTCCATTACTATGCTGTGTTGTGGAGTGGTTGCCGATGGTTTCTCAATAAAGGGAGGTTGACTTTTAGATACATTTGATCCATCTGTAACTTGGTGCAATGATAGTCCATAAACTGTTTGGGTTCATTGTGTAAATTTTGTTGTTTGGAAGATTGATGAGGGTGACGCTGCCAACTGGAAGAAACCAACGAAGTCAACGAGAAAAACGCCAAAAGAACTGGGCTTTGTGCCGCCGTGATCATCCCCTGGTCCTAAATATCGACCTTGGCTCTCTTGTTCTTGATGAACATGCTAATTAACGTCACTAGGTACGAAAGCAATGTGAAATAAGCTGGTTGGGTGGTAGCAAAGTGAGGGCAAAAGCCACAAATACAAAATCTCACGATGAAAAAATATAGCTCAGACTGGTTTCGATCCAGTGACCTCCGGGTTATGAGCCCGGCGCTATTCCCCTTAGCTACTGAGCTGCTAATCATATTACATTAACCTTGTAAAGATTTGTAAATTATATAGAAAATAATGGCACGGGCCACTGGGATAACACACTGTTTACAGTCATATGCAGCTATGCCACACACTAGGTCAAAAGTTTCCATCTTTTTTTTTGTTGCGGTGCTAAGCTCACACCCTGAGATGTTCCCTCAAATCACATATAAAATGGAGCATAGCCGACTACCTCTCAAGTGTAAGTAGCTAGGAAAAGCGTTTTGTTACACCTTCTTTGATAGGACGGTACTGGAACGACTCAGAATCTGTTGTAGGTATCGAGTTTGGCGAGAACTGCCAACGCACAGTGTTCGATCTCGGAAGATCAGACACAGAACGCGTAAGAAAGGCTGCGAAGGCTATGTCTATGGCTGATAATGAGGAACACAAGCTGGGCAAAGAGACATGTTAACAGAGGAAGCGTGGGAAAGAAGAAAACCAGCAAATATATGACGCTTCAAGTATAAATATGAGCATGTGTCACGAACATGGCCATATGCAGTGACCTGGTGGGGCGCGCGGGAGACGCCCCGAGCCAATCGCTAGAAACAGGGGCACAGCCAGTTCACAAGGGAGCCCTAGCCACACCTCTGGCCAGGAGCGATGGGAGCGCTGAACGCTCCCATCGGGCCAGGAGCGACGAGAACGGGTTTCGCTCCTCGCGCTCCTAGACACAACGAGGGAGGAAGCTGTATATAGTTCACAGTCTCTAGGCCTACGGGCACCACAGTAGCTTCCTCAGTAAGCAATTCTAGTGCAAGTTTGTCAGTACCTTTCAGACATTGCTTGTTGTGAACCCTTTGGCTTCACCGAACCTCATCCCGTTGTCAAGTTTAACCTTCAGGAGTCTCTCTCAGTGGTCTGGGACCGATATTCGTCACAGCATGAGAAGAACTATTCCGCAACTGCTTCCAGGCTGATGACCCGTCTCACTTTCCTCAGGTCGTGGTGGAATTGCTGGGATAAGTTCACTCGCTTTGGGACAGCAAAAACCGGTAACGTTCAATTCCTTCGTTCCAAATACTTAGGTATGATGACATGTAAATATGTGCTGGTCATGGCTTCGTCCCGTTGAGGCCCCGTACCTGTCCTCTCTCCGTGCTGGATCGACAATACTTCTGACTTGACTATGAAGAATTTTGGAACCCATCATCTTGGGCGTGCCTTGAATTGCAAGCAGCGTCTCCAAAATGAACGAAAGGACGGGTTTGCCCAGAAAAGACAGGCAAAAAAACTGAAGTTGCCAGTATAGCTTTCACTGGTTTCGATCCAGTGACCTCCGGGTTATGAGCCCGGCGCTCTTCCCCTGAGCTAGAAAGCTTTTTTCTGTTCATGACATGTGACAAGGTAATGGGGCTTATATTTCCGTGAAAAGTTTGCTGCCATCTGTGTGGGGTAGGTGGATCAAAGGGGATGGGCTCGAGCAAGACTCTCAGACACAGTGAGTCACTCAACCCGCAGCGGTGCAGCCTCAACTCCAGGTTGCCCGAGCTTGCCCCCCCTACAACACCCCCCAGCGCCCCCCTGACGTATCCAACCCTCCTTGCAGAATGCCCTTCTCTTTCACACCCCAATCAGCACCTCCCTCGGCGTGCCCTTTTTGGCCCACTCGCGCAGCACGTTCTTTTTGATCTTGCCCGTGCTCGTCTTGGGAAGTTCCCGAACGACCTCGGCCTCGCGCGGCACCATGTACCGGCTGATGGCGCTCTGGTGCCTGGCCCACTCGATCACGTCGGCCCCGCGGATCCCGCCCTCGCTGCCGCCCGGCTCCTTGACCGTAACGTAGGCTTTGGGCCGCTCGCCCCAGTGCGCGTCGGGCACCGCCACGACGCCGGCCTCGAGTATGGCCGGGTGCTCGACGAGCATCGACTCGAGGGCGACCGACGAGATGTTTTCGCCGCCTGCATGCATGCGGCGGGGCGCACGGAATTGATTAGTTATCTGGGCTGGAGAGAAGTGGACATGCGGGAGAGCGGAAAAGAAGTACTCACCGGAGATTATGATGTCCTTGGCGCGGTCCTGGATCTGGATGCTCCCGTCGGGGTGCCAGACTGCCAGGTCTCCCGAGTGCAGCACCCCGCCGGCGAACAGCTTGCGCGTCGCTTCCGGGTCCTTGTAGTACCCCTTGCAGCAGATGTTACCCTCAAACACAATTTCGCCCATCTCCTTGCCGTCCCGGGCCACGTCGACCAGCACGCCCTCGGGCTGGTCCGGCTGGACGACGCGCACGGGGAGCGAGGTCAGGAAGCCGTGGCCCTGCCGCGCCATGTTGGCGTACTTGTCGTGCTTCGGGAGCGCGTCCCACGCCGGGAGCATGTAGCCGCGCGTGATGGGCCCGTACGTCTCGGTCAGGCCGTAGACGTGCACGGGAAGGAGATTGAGCTTAGTCATCTGCTCGAATAAGTGAGCCGTCGGAGGGCTGGCGGCGACGGTGACGCGGACGGGCCGGGGGAGGGCCTCGGCGTCCTTGTGGGCGCAGAGCAGCGTGTTGACGGTGGGTGCCGCGTTGAAGTGCGTGATGCCCTGCTCCTTGAGGAGCTTCCAGATCAAGCCGTAGTCGATCTTGCGCAAGCAGACGTGCGTGCCGCGCACCGCGCAGACTGACCAGGGAAATGTCCAGCCGATGGCGTGGAACCTGTGCCGTCAGCAGAAGTTCTCAGTACAGCAGGGGGGTGCTGACTTACATAGGCAGCGTCCAGAGGTACTTGCACCTCCCTTCGGGCAGGTTCAGCCCGGATTCCACAATGTTCGCCAGAGCAGCGAGGTAAGCACCGCGATGCGTAAACTCGACTCCCTTTGGCCGAGATGTCGTCCCCGACGTGAACGGAATCGCAATGGTATCGTCCTCGTTTGCCACCGTCCGCGACACCAGACCAGACCACCCCTTGCCCCCCGTCTCCTGATCGATCCTGAGCCCGTCGAGCACGGCCTCATCAAACGGCCCGCAAAAACCCCCCTCGGTGGCGCCGGTATCCTACTCTCAATCAAGTCAGCCACCCGCCCCCCTCCAAACTCTTCTCTCCTGCCCCTAACCAACACCCAACACCAACACCCAAGCCCCAACTCAGAAGCAAAAAGAGGAAGACCTACCAAATCAACAATAACCTCCACCCCCCTCCCCCGCGCCCACTCCCCCTCCCTAAACCTCCCCAACAACCCCTCAAACTCCCGGTCAACCAACACACACTGCACCTCGGCAAACTCGAGGATATACCCCACATCCTCCTCCGCGAGCCTGTAGTTGACCGGCACGAGCACCGCGCCGGCCGCCGCGACGCCGTACACGCTCTCGAGAAAGGCCGGCGTGTTGGGCATCAGCACGCCCACCCGCCTCGTGTGGCCCCTGCTGCGCAGGTAGTAGGCCAGGCCGCGGGCGCGGTCGGCGAACTCGCGGTAGGAGCGCACCAGCGGTTGATTGGTGGCGGCGGGGATGTGGTAGACTGCGGCGGCGTCGGGCTCGATGGAGGCGGCGCGCTCGAGGAAGAAGGTTGGGGAGAGGTGGGCGAGGTGGGGAGGGGGAGGAGGGGGAGGGGGGGAGGTATCTTGGGACGGGGACGGGGATGGGAATGGGGAGTCATTGGTGGTGGTGGAGGAGGAGGTGGTGGAGGTGGGGGTGGTTTGGGGCGGGAGGAGGTGGCCTAGCACGCTACGCAGGCGGGATGGAGGGGCGGACATGCTGGTGATGGTTGCTGTTGTCTGAGTTGAGACTCGTGACACTGGCGAGATGTGATAGGGCTGGGATACAGGGTTGACCTTGGGGGCTTGAGAGTTTGAGGATGCGCTTAGCAGTACTGATTGAGGTAAAGTTGAGAGATGCTCCGTTGTGGCCACAAGGAGAACGTAGATGTATATGAGCCGGAGAGAAGCCGTGTCTGTGTCGTCTTGCCGATCAAAGCCGGCGCCACCCAATGGACCGAGACGCGGGAGCGGAGGAGGATGAACAAGCGAGCCTGCCAATCGGCCGGAAAGGGTCGATACCTCAGCCCTGGCGAACTACACCAGATGAACTCGCTGAGTTATATATGAGTCCCTTTCATGTCGGTCCTGGTTCAAGGCAGCGCGGACAAGCACGGGGCGAGGAGGCCAGACCTCCACTTGTCCGAATTCCATCTCCAAGCCCCGGCCAAGTCGCTGATCACGGTTCTCCGCATTCTGGTTCGGCAACTCCCGCCAACTTCAAAAAAATAGTTCGAGGCAGCAGATGAGAAACCAGCATGAGTCTCTCACTCAACTCGACCAGGTCCAGGGAGAACCGGTCTTGAAAGAACATACCTTGGTAAGTCTTGACATTTAGATGAGGACCGGCTTTCGAAGACTCAATCAACCTTGAATGAAGCAGGCGATGTCCTGGTCCCTTCCTCTTTCGGCTGGAACAACCCCCGCACCGTTCCAAGTTTGTGGGGAGTGGGGTGCTCTTGAACTTACCCCACTGAAGCCCCACATGGCTGGCTGGACGGTTCAATGGACGGAAATCTGTTCAACCGGGAGGACATTCCTCACATCACAACTTCACTGTCACAGTTCTCCAAGCGAGATCGCTACTTGGGCATTACCAAACCTTCCAATTCATACAAAGCCACAAGTGGTCAAAACGAAGTATCAACAATGACATTCATCGCTCAGTCATGAGTATCATAACAGAAAGATTCCCTTTCAGAAACAGGAGCCGACGCAGCGGCGAAACAAACTCAAACCCAACCCCACAAAGGCGGCCTGACCTAGTCCTTGCGGATGAGGCTCTCAAACAGGGGCTTGAGGCTCTTGGCGCTCTTCTTGGGGTAGCGCTTCTGGTCGTTGACGTAGTCGACGTAGGTGACGCCGAAGCGCGTCTCGTAGCCCTCGGCCCACTCAAAGTTGTCCATGAGCGACCAGGCGAGGTAGGCGCGCACGTCGACGCCGTCCTCGGAGTAGGCCTTGGCCATGGCGTTGACGTAGTCGTTGAAGTACTGGACGCGGAAGTCGTCCTCGACGATCTGCTCGAGCGACATGTCGTTCTCGCCCTTGAGCGACGTGCCGTTCTCCGTCACGTAGATCTTGGGGTAGCCGTAGCGCTTGCTGAGCCAGTTGAGCAGGTCGCGGAACCCCTGCGCGTGCGGGCGCAGCCAGAAGGACTGCGTCTCGGGCCCGATGCAGTCGCCGTTCTTGTTGTAGAAGAGCGTCTCGAGGTTGCCCAGGAAGTCGTCCTCGGGCGGCACGCCCTTCTTGTGCTTGATGTAGTTGGCCGTGTAGTGGTTCATGCCGTAGAAGTCGTTGGAGCCCTTGACGAGCGCCACGTCCTCGGGCGTCCAGCTGGGCAGCCGGTCGCCCAGCTGCTTGCGCATCGACTCCGGGTAGTGGCCAAAGTAGATGGGGTCGGCGAACCACGAGATGGCGAACTCGATCTTGCGGTCGCACGCCTCGACATCGGCCGGGTCCTCGGGGTCCCACGGCAGCGTGGCGTCGCCGTTGAGCGTGATGCCGATCTCGCCGCCCTGCGTGGGCTTGAAGTCCTCGCGGTACGCCTTGACGGCCTTGCCGTGGGCCACGAGGATGCTGTGGCCGACGGTCCACGGCTCGCGCGCGCTGTCGCCGACGGGCGAGCGGGAGCGGTCCGACGTGTGGCCGGGCGCGAAGTAGCCGCTGTTGTAGCCCAGGATGGCCGAGCACCACGGCTCGTTGAACGTGATCCAGTGCTTGCATTTGGGGATGGCCTTGAACATGACGCGCGCATAGTTCTCAAAGTCGGCCGTGAACTCGTCCTTGTTCAGGAAGCCGCCGTAGCGCTTGTCGAGCGCGTCGGGGAGGTCCCAGTGGAAGAGCGTGATGAAGGGCGTGATGCCGGCCTCGAGGAGGTCGTCGACAAACTTGACATAGTGCTCCACGCCCTTCTGGTTGACGGGGTCGTTGCGCCCGCCGAGCGGGATAATGCGCGACCACGAGATGGAGAAGCGGTACGAGTTGGCGCCGAGCTTCTTGAGCAGGTCGATGTCCTCCTTGGTCCGCTTGTACGAGTCGCAAGCCACCGCGCCGGAGCTGCCATCGGCAATCTTGCCGGGGATCTGGCAGAACGTGTCCCAGATGGAAGGACCGCGGCCATCCTCGGTGGCAGAGCCCTCGATCTGGTACCTGAACCGAAGGGAATCATGTCAGTCAAAGGCCACACTACCAGGGGCAGGATGCGAGAAGACTCACGCAGCGGTGGCGAAGCCCCACTTGAAGCCCGCGGGGAGAGACATGTTGACGGCTTTCTGGGAGCAAGAGGGAAACCGGTTGGATGCGGAGGGGGGAGGAAGACAGAGAGAGCGAGAGGTTTGCCCAACAACTGACCGACCGACGAGGAGG